CTCCTCAACCCTCTGATGGGCCCTACTCTGTGTGTGACAGGGGGCAGCGCCCCAACCCCCCAATCGGCCCTACCCTTAGCGTGACTGAGGGTGGCATCGCAACCTCCCAATCCACCCTGCTCTGTGCATGACGGGGCGGTGCCCCAACTCCCCAATTGGCCCTGCTCTGAGCCCGACCAGGGGCTGCACCTATTGATTAGCCAGCAGGTCATTATCTCCCAAGGGGTCCCAGACTGCGAGAGGGCACAGGCCGGGCTGAGGGACTCTCCTCCTTCCCCTGAGGGCACAAATTTTTGTACACTAGGCCTCTAGTATACAAATATTAGGCATTGTAGTTACTAGCTATCTACTGTGATCTAGAAAGAGTTTAGTTCTAAAAGAATCCTGTCTTGCTAAAGAGAATTGTTATTAATCCTGTAGCTCTTCAGGTATTTGATACAAATTAGATGCTGTGATACTATTAGTCCTTAGATGCAACTTTCTAACTACTTTTATGTAACATAAAAGCAACGCACAATTTTCTTTAAATCATTTTATGAAGCCACAAATGTTTTACTCATTTCCAGAGGGAAGTGCTTCCAACTCCTTTAGCAATGGCACTATTGTGAAAACGCTTTCGTTCTATACAGTGCCACACATACTTTTCAGTAGTGACCTATGCTTTCTTGCTGAGGTGATTTTAAGCTGATATATTTCTTTATGATGATGGCAGTGAAACAAACCTAAAGAAAGATGAAGCTGCTGGTAAGAAAAGTCCTGCATCTGTAACACCAGCAGGGAATTCTCTACAACAAGCCTGAGCTTGTGAAAGCAGTGACCATCATATTTGTATTCTTAGCACTTAGAACATTGCCTAGCATTCAGTAAATATATGTGATGAACTAAACTCAGATGAAGCAGATTTAGTGACTTGTTATAACAGGAAATGTTCTTTCCTAAGGGTGCATTCTTCACAGATTGAGAACTTTTATTGAATGCTTTGTGGCAACCAGGCTTTGTGTAAGGCGCTAACTTATATTGTCTTAGTCTTTACAGCAGCTCTCTGAGGTAGATGTTGTTGTTAACCTTTTTCTGTTTGAAACTTATGAGAAAACAGAAGTTGAGAAAAGTTAAAGTCATACAGCTGGTAAATTATGGTGCCAAGCTGTTGGGCCAGATCTGTTAAACTATGTTTGAAACTCTTCACTGCATTATACTGATTTCATAGTTCATCTTCCTGCTACAGAGGTCACTTATGCGTTTGTAGGTAGTTTATTAGGGAGACTGGACTTTCTGACAGGGCATAGATGGAGCCTGGCAGAACTCTGTCTGGTCCCCTGAAGGCCAAAATTAAGTATAGGATAACTATCTGTCCTGCTTTGTGTGTGACTAAGGGGATTTCTGGGATATAAAACTTTTAGGGCTAAAACCAGGAAAATACTGACCAAGCCTGGAAAACTGATAAACTGGTATGTCTCACTTTAATTTTATCAGTTTAATCTGAGCCAGAGCGAACATGTATAGAAGCTAGGGGTAACTGAATAAAACAATAAAATAACTTAATGCAAATATTAATTTTCTTTACTTTTTGGTTTTTTAATATTTTTGTATTGATTTCAGAGAGGAAGAGAGAGGGAGAAAGAGCCAGAAACATCAATGACGAGAGAGAATCACTGATCAGCTGCCTCCTGCACGCCCTCCACTGGGGATGGAGCCTGTGACCCAGGCATGTGCCCTGACCGGGAATCGAACCATGACCTCCTGGTCCATGGGTGGATATTCAACCATGAGCCACACCAGCTGGCTCCTTTTTGTTTTTTTAATCATCACCAGAGGATATTGTGCCCTATTTGAGAGAGAGAGAGAGAGAGAGA